ACTGCAGAAGAATCTGTTTGGTGTGTAGATATTTGAAACATTACAACAAATGTCAGAAACAGAAAAAGATTTATTAGAAATATTACACAGATTTTTGCATCATACATTTTAATAATGTTAATCTTTAAATATTAGCATGTCCAAATCTGGCAATGCCTAGTATATACATTCTAATGTGCTCTTTGTATAAATTAGATTACGATGCAACATCCGTACCCAACAGAGAAAGCTAAAAGTACTTGACTGTTAGAGGCGATTATCCCACATGACAAACTCAAGCCTGGACCAACAATCAATAAAAACCTTGTGTCCAGCACTGCCCAGCGGAACCTGGCACACGTGCAAGTCAAAAAACGTAGAGACCATCGGTTGAGAAAAACGTTAATTACAGTTCAGTTATAAGCTTCGATCAACACCACGTATTGGTGAGTAAGTCTAAATGGCACTGGAGTTGGTAAAAACCAATATAGTCTAGCATAGTAGAAGTTATTGCTGGGTTTAAAAATGTCTTAATGCTCAGTGCCCTGAGTCTTTTCAGGCAAAAGCCCTCTTCTGACAGGAAAATGCGTAACCTCATCCCATACAGACTCCGCCTTTTACCAGGTACACAAGGCACAGCCTTGCAAACAGCTGGCCCCGACAGACGCTTCCTGCTGGAAGAGTCGGTACCACAAGCAAAGACAGGCAAGCGAGGTCCCAGCGACAGCCAGGTGAGCCAGTGCTCGCCATTGCCAAGGAAGGGGGAAAGTCAGGGAAGCAAAAAGGTAGATTTTGAAGAGTTCCAGGTCAAGAATCAAACAGGGAAGAACCAACCATTCTGCCAGCGTGTGCTCATTTGGTTTGGACAGAAAACTTGCATGTAACTAGTTGCAAGTACAAAACAAGAAAAAAAAATCACAGAGAAAACCTGTAAAACCCAACTTCAAATTACAAAAAGCAAACCTGCCAGAATTCAAAGAGAACATGTCTCACAGAGATGAAACTGGGCAACGTGCCTAACTCAAAAAATCACTCTGCTTAACACGGCTGCCTTGCTGCAGCACAGGAAGAACCGTGAAATCTTTGTCCCCCTTGCATTTCCGTGACTGGGACAGGAAGGGGAACCTGGCAAGGGCAGCAAACTCTGTGCTCGCTTCCCTCCTCATCCTCTGAGATCCACCCCAGGCTGCACTCTTAGGAGAAATGTCACTCGGGATGACAGTCAGTAAGGACTCTCAAGCTGATGTCCTTTGCTGTCCACAAAGGCCCGGGGATGTATGTCCCATACACGCCTCTCTCCTCACACACTCCATTCAGCTTCATCATGTACTTTCAGAAACAGCTCATCAGCCTTTCTAGAAAACCTTCTTAGTGGTCTGACTCTGGGCTCGCTTCTCAACGCCTCTGTACCTCCCCAAGCCATGAAACAATTTGCACCTTCTATGACTCACCAGGAATTCTGGGAGTCAGATCGTATACTTTTCCACACTTCAATCTCCTTTCCTCTCTAACAGCTATAGTACAACAGTCACACGATGCGGTATCCCTCCATGGAACTTCACTGAAATCCCCATCCTAACCATTCTTCTCACGTGCTCATCCAAAATCAGCTATTTGGTGTCTCATAGTCTGACAGACTACCCAAGTACAGACGTACAAGCATGTGCAGGTATGTTTGAGAGCGACTGTATATTCAGGGAGCATATGGTGACACGGTGACGAGATTTCACCTGCCCACATCAGGGAAAGATCTACTGCTCCTAAGAGGCAAAGTCAGAAAGGATTTAGGCAGTTTAGGCAAACTATTACTGATACAACCCATCCCCGTCATATCATTACGTGTTCCATTCTAGGACATTTTCAGAGGATTCTCAGAACTTCTATACCCTCTAACTTAAGTTTAGTTAACAAACTAATTTTAAAGGCAGCTAGAACTTTAATTTTGCAGTTGAAATTTGAGATGTCTTACAAGGGCCTGTAGATTTCCTGAAAAACAGGCTGGTCTGCAGCATCTCTTGTGGGACAAATTTAAATTCATATTCAAGTTTTAAGGCAGCATGAAAAAACAACTAATTTCTGAAAATCCAGGTCTAGAAATGTAACTGCGCAAGGTTCAAAAGGAAGAAAAAATACAGTTAAATGAACAAATAAGCAATATTCTTAATCACAAAAAATAATCTGGAAGAGCATCTCAATCTCAAAGTGTCAGCATTTCAAAATGAGATGTGCAGGTTTGAGGACTGGAAAGTAACATTGAACAAATGGTGGAACTGAGTATCTTCTTCCTTACTGACAGACAGCGCCTTGTTCTAACTCCTAGATAAGTAAAAAATTTTCAAGAATATACCATTAGAATTGAGTAGAATTAGCGTTTGGTCTATGCTGCTGGGGGGTATGGCAGAATAAGCTGCAGAAAGATGACAGAAACATTGCTTTGCAAAAATAATTTGAAAAAAAAAAGCTGCTAGATCAAACAGAACGGCTCATAAGGTTAGAGTAAGTCTTGGAGAAACAGATTAGAATGAGTGTCAGAACAGCGCTTGAAGCAAGTGATCCTGACACACCAGATAACACGCACATAGTGCACATCTGACAGTCACACACGCTCGCAGTGACCAGAGGGTTAAGATTATCTTTCTTTTTTCAATCAAGTGGAGCCCTCTGACTTTGAAATGTTTACTGGACGCTGGGAATTGAAACAGTTTTTCTCATCCCTGCAAGTGCCCAATCCAAAGCCCACTGAGGAATATGGAATTTTCTGTGTTGACTTCACTACGCTTTGAACTACAGCCCGTTGGAGAGAATCGGGATCTCTGCCAATGGATACCTCAAGGGAAAGGAGCCTGCTGCAGCCACAAGGCAGCGGGGCTCTGCAGTGAGACCGCCTGCCTAAATGAACTCTGCTTAGCAGCTATTTTTCTTTTCCATCTTATCACTATCTTATCATGGGAGTAACGGGAGACTCGTATCTAAGAACACTTACAGCAACTCATCCTGTGTTCTCTAGGGATGGCAGAGTGTACGCTGAAAAACACTGGAGAGTTAATTCAATCTAGAAAGCACTCTCTTGCAAAGAAATAACTCTGGTCAGCATTTACAACTGCTTTCTCACAGTATAGGATGACACAAAGAGCGCAAGGGCACTCTAAGTGCGTGCCACTGTCTCTTTTTATCACACAGACTCTCAAAAGATTGGAATCAGATTTTCCTGGGGGCGATGGATTAGAATAAATGCCAGACTAAAACTAAGAGCAAGCGATGCTTTTCTCCTCCTACAAAATAGGCAAAGACACTGCATTCCTCCAACTTCCTTTCTGTTCAGCACACTCACCGACCTTGGCCACTGTCATCTATCCCTTAATCCTGTACTTGGTGTGAGAAAACCAAACTCTGAAACAGATTGTTTACTAATTAAATAGCATTAAAAAAAAACAAACAACAAAGCACTTTGGGGAAGCCAGAGGCTGAGATCAGCCACCTGCAAAGTCCCAGAAAACCTGAAACCATGTTTCATCTGTGAAATCGCTTGTTTCTATTTCATGAGCCTTTTTTCAGGAGTTAGAGAGCAGTGAGCACACACTACTATTTTTTGTAAGAGAGAAATGACCCCTAGCTCCCTATGATTAACAATCACAAAGCATCAAGTCTGGTCACAGTGTTAAACATGCTAACTAAACAACAACTTTCTTCTACCAGCAATAATCTAAAGCTGCTAGGCAGCCTTCTAGGAGGTCCTCTACAAAGCACGCTCTCCAAGATCTGCTCCTAGAAAATTAAGCGGCCTCTTTGATCCTGCTATCCTTGGAGACAAAAAGAAAATTTAACTTCATGAGGTGAAATAAGAGAAATGGTATAATGGAAATTAAACAGTATCTTTCAGACATTTTGCTAACAGCATTATTGAGCTGGAAAGCTATTCTCTGGCGCCTTAGAGATGTCCGTGACACAGGGATTCCAGTTACAGTCTTCATAACTTGTGAAGTTGCAACTTCCATCGGTACCAATATATTACTGTGCTCCTTTGCAGGGTAACATCATTTCCAAGCATGTAACGGTGCTCTATGGACTACAGTTTATTGGACAGGGCACAGGCTGTCTCAAGATTTGTGCCTCTATATGGCAATTGCTTATCTGTGCTGATCATACAGGATCAACACAGAAGAAAGAAGTTACTCAATCCACAAAAATATGAACTACTGAGATGTCACTGTATTGCTTAGAGAGTCACCACCTGATTACTGGCACCTTGCAAACTAAAGCTAGTAACTTGCATTTGCAATATTCCTGTGATAACTGTGCCTGCACAGTCAGCTGGGAAACCAGGCTCCAGCTTCCCATAGTAATCAAGTAACAAAGTTGTAGAAATAAAGCTATTTTTCCTCAAAGACATTACTTCTGTTTGATCCGAAACAAAGTCCCAGCACCTAACAGGATCTTTTAGAGTTCTTTCACTAACTGGTGATGGAACAGAGCGTGGTTTCTGAGTTACAAATGATCCTGTTGTTATCCTGCTGGTTAAGCTATGACAAGCAAACCAGTACACTTACTGGGCCAGGTGTGTGAGAATAACTCAGGTTAAGGTTCTACACACATATGTGCATCTGTCACAATGTTTTATAAAATATATGGAGGCAAGAAAACAACATGTATTTGGGATGAGTTAAGCATGTTTTGGCAAGAAGAGCATTTTTTGTGAGCTTTCGTATTAATATTAATCTCCCAGCCTCCCTTGAGTGCCAGTACAGTCCACATTGATTTAGAACTTCATTTTGTAGCAGGATCCTCTTCAGAAATATCCCACGCGTGTTTGAAAATGCTTTGCAGTTTCCACATGGGAATGAAATTACAGAAGAATTTGGTTTGTATAGATGGACAATGGATATTTATTTGGTGGCAGTCCCAGATGTAATCAAAATTATGGAAGAGCTTTCTTTCAAACTAAGAGCTTAGGTTGGTTGTGGAAGAGGAGCAAGTGGATTTTTAAAGTGATCGAGTGCATCTGTAGCGTTCTTTGTTCTCTTCCCCACTTCTGTCCACCTCTTGCTCTGCATCTCAGGTCTCAAAGTACTTGTAAATCTGGGCGACATACTGCATCACACTCTGCCAGTCTGGCCGGTCCGTGTACATCATCTCGCTGAGTTCCTGCATAGGACAGACACATTATCAAAACTTAGCCAAGCACCACCACTGGGAACATCACTTGGTCCTCTGAGTAGCTGTGGCTATTGAATGCTACTTCTGCTTCCATTCCAGAGCTCCTTAAAGCCACATACAGTATAAAAGTCTGTGGGAATGATCTACTGGGCCAGTGCAATTCTGAAACTCATTAACAAACTAGCTAAACAGCCATATGCATTTTACATTCTGCAAAGATTTCTTCCATCTGCAATCAAAGATCAATTCTCTATATAACTTCATTTAAATTGCTGCTTCTTTGCCTGTCTTTGGTTCTGTATTTAGTTCGTGAAGCCCATATCATCTTTTCCTTTGTATTAAACTTTTCTCTTCCTTGTCATCATATTACTGATTTTAGAAAAGGCTTTTTAAACCATTTAGCAAACAAATTATCCTTCTATTTCTTAAAACACTAAAACACACAGAAAGAAAATGGTCTAACAGGCAATTCTACCCATGAAAATAGGAATCATCTGGAATTGGCTTCCAAGAGAAGGACATAATCAATACTCTTATTTCAATACTAGATGACCTCCACAAGTTCCTTCAAATTATATTAATTCTACAAATTCTTTCTGGAAGTTCTCTTAAGACTATGAACTTTCAAGAGATGGTGGTGCAGCCTTCCCTAGCACTACGTGAACATGTTCAGTGCAAGCTGACTGATTGGCCACGTGGCAACAAAGTCTTTGGAACAGTGCATGCAGCAAATCTTCCCTTGCTAAAAGGTTACTCACCAGGCTGGGTTTGATGCCTACGCTTTCAGCAGCTTGAAATGCCAACAGCAGATTTCTCTTCTGTAAAGATAAAAGTTCAAAAGGATTATCATCAAAGTATGATTCCTGAACCCTACCTCGCATCTGGTTAATCAGTAAGTTTAAATCAACAGGTATATTTGAAAACTGAAAAACACTAGATTTAGTACTTTCACATAGATGCTTTTTTTTATTAGTAAGGTATACTCACAAACAAGTTCTTTGTTTTTGAATAGCTCATCTACTTTTGCCCAAGCTACAGCCCTCTGTTATTGACAAATGGGTTCTCGTGAAACTGACTAAAACTGGGAAAAAAAACCCACTGAGGTTCTATCTTTGTTATGAGCGAACTGTTTCTGAAGAGGTGTTAACTAACACAAGGCATTTCTGTACCTAGTCTAATTCTTATTGTAATAGATACGAGCTGTCTGAAGTAAATCCTGGTTCCTCCCCTTTGTGAGGGTCTTAATAACATATTTGGAATGTCCTGACATGGCGTGACTTTTAGATACATTGCTCTCCAAGTAGTTCAATGAATGATCTGTCTGCCTACTGATCCAGCACTTTTAATGTGTGCTAATAACCCAGGAGTCCAGAACTGCTTTAGCCTTTCAGAAGGGATGCTGTCTTCATATTTATCCACACCGCTCACTGTATTATTCAGGCAACTTGTCACTAACTCCTTATCCAGTAGTCCATGCATTTCTCTCTGGGAGCTCACTGTTGATTTCCTTCCCCTTTTCATTCAGTCTGTTTGCTTTGTAAGTTTCTCCATAGATACTGGTCTCTTACTGTTCCTCCCATCTATTTATTTTGTATCAATCAAGATCGTGTGACACTGTGTCTCCACCACATATCCATCAAAATGGGTAACGTTCACCCTAAACACTGCAAATGGTATAGGAGCAGTTACAACAAAACTTACTTTATCCTGGCTGTTGAGCTCCTGGTAAGGAATATGTGCAGGCAAATACGTGTGCAGGAGAGCGCAGAAGGCCAGCCCATCACTCCAGCTGCTGCTGAAGTTGGTAATATCAATATTCTGTAAGAGAAAACAGGAACCATCCCTGAGCAGTGCTACACAACAGAAATATCACCAAACAGTAGTTTTTGTGCAGCCATGAAACAAAAATGCAAGAGTATTAAAGGAACATAGGTTTACATTTTCCATTCTCCCCTTCTTTTTCATGTCAAGTAGAAAGATACCAAGTAGGATGGCAAGTTTCAAAGTCCTGGTTAAGGGATTATTAAGGAGTTAAACGTTTCTCACACCAGGTCACAGAGAGACTCTCTCCAATGCTTTCTAGAAGGTGAGAAATACCATGTGCACCACATGCTGCAGCTGCAATCTTCCTGTGCTGGCAGGAGGAAGGACTTTATCTGGTCCCTTTCAATTACAGAATGGCAGAAATATGATTTCTCCAGCACCAAAACAGAAGTAATTGGTAATGGTGTTTTTGTAGTTGATTTGATGTGTCCTTGTCTCAGGATATGTAACAGGGATGGATTTGTAGAATGATGAGGCAGTGTGATCAGTGTATTTGACCACTGTTATCTTTCTGATATTGCACAGCTGATACATGCTTTAATGAGAATGTGTAATTAACAATTATGACTTGATTCAGCCCCTTATCAAAAGTGATATCAAACTGATGAAATACTAACATAGTCCTCAAGCCCTAAATAAAGAATGTGCTTACTTGTACGTGAGAGGGAGGCTCAAACTTGGCAACAGCAATGGCTGAACGGGCAGCTCTCCAAGAGCTGGGCAGATGTGCCCAGTTTGCAGTCATTTGCATGAATGCACGTTTGCATTCTCATATTCTTTACCAATGCAGTGTCTTTCATCTGCACATCACAGAACACTTAACAAAAGGCAGATAAAGAATGGGAAGTCTGAGATACAGAATTTAATCATCTACCGTAATTCACAAAATGAGCCACAAGTAGCTGAGAACAGAGGTTTCCTGATGCTCACTCTCCTGCTACCATAGTCACTGACAGACAAACGCGGCTGTGTCACTGGTAACAAGTACAATACAAGATCCTTACGGAACAGAAGCAAACAGAAACCTTTAAATTTTGTCTTCACACATTTCCTAACATGATAACAAGGCTAAGTTTGCTCAAGGAAGCAATGTTTCAGGGGGTGTGGATATATTAATAAACACCCAATTGAAAAGCCAGAGCTGAGTGAGAAAAATCTAATTTGTCTGTAGCAACACTCCCACCACTGCCAGCTCCAACAGGAGGGCAGTGAAAAGGAAACATTTTTAAAGAAAGAGTCTCATCTGATTGCAAGTTTAAATGGTCAAAACCCATCTTCCTTCCCCTTGTTGGTGTGATTCTTCTTTGCTAGTCATATAACTTATTACAAGGGTGCACTCAGGTGCACAGAGGAAATCCAGTTTCCCTCCTCATGACAACTGAAGTCCAGAACATGCTACGTTCAGCTGGTGGATTAGGGTGATTACAGCAACTGATATTTTAAAATCAGCCCATCTGTAAAGAACTCCTTTAAAATACAAAGATTACTGGGGTACAGAGTGCACTTGGGGTTCTTCACAGGGATTCTCTTGGGAGGCGCAGCTGTAGTTAAACACACGCTTGTGGCCCAGTTCTGATCCTGTGAACACGGTGACCTTTCTAATCCACTTGTTTGCACTGACTGGCCATACCAGCACACTAAGGAATTTTAATGGCTAAGTTTTGATGCTGTAATAGCAGCTGTAGTTCCAAATACCAGCTAAAAACAAAACAGTGAATTAAGTGATATTGCTTAGAAAAGTAACAGCTGCTGGAGCATGGGAGGCCCCAGGACATGATGGCACCGTGCCATCTCTCATACTATGGCATGTGCGGGGCTACCCTCAATCATTCTCGTTGGCCGCATCTTCCTGCGTGCTGAACTTCAACTGAGACTCTCTGCCACTTCATTTTCTTTATTTAGCTATTTTCCGGTTTCTTTCAAGAGTCCCTGAAAGACAAAACTTTTACTGCATCTCTTATACAAAAGCTAATGCAGACGCACTAAAACCCAGACAGGAACCATTTTAGCATATGCTCTTCACTTACGATGCCTCACTGATTAGTTGTCCAACCTGGACTTTGTCCAGTCAGACAGGATTTCAGATTAGTAATAAATATCCATAACCAAACATGACTCAAGTTGAAGCACAGAATATTTCAGGTTAAAATACTCTGACTGTAATAAATCTACAAATCTAACGGGCTCAGAAAGCAGGCCATCAGCAGCAGACATTACCGCACTGCACCAGCCACCACATTGTATTTTGTTCTATTAACATCTGTCAACGGAGATAAAAGCGACATAGTGGCTGGATACCATCACAAGAAAAAGTATTTTGCTCTGAATACTGTCTTGGCTTTGCCTAATCCATAACGTCGCACCATGGAAGTCCAACTGTGTGTTATGGAATAGGCTGAAGCTGGATTACTCTGCTTTCTTGACGTTTCAGACAAACAAGTTGCTGACTATTTATCAATCTGCAGTTAGTGGGAAAGGAGTGAGTGCCAAATTACAGAAGTGTTTTTACTAAGGCCAATATATTTTATCAGCAAATAGCCTACCACCAAATGCCAATATTCTAATTTTATATTGTATGATACAAATGGAAAATGGAGGTCGTCCGCCCACCCCTGCCACCCAAAGGCCATGGAAACAGGAACAAACAAAGCCTTAGTTAAGCAACAGGACTAGACAAAGAGGCAAGTTGTTTGTGTGGGAACATTATATCCTATCCTCATTTTCATGATGCTATTATGAGACACACGAGATACAAAACTCTTCCTTCCTACAGTATTTCACCAATGTTGGTTCGGTAATTTTACTTGGCTTTGCAGTTTTATCTATACCTGTAACTCTTCTCCTCCCATCTAACAATTTCTAGAGATAATAAGTGCTAATGTCTACAATAAAATCAGAACTATGTCCAAAAATCCTCACATCTCCAACAGCATTGTACAGCCAGTCATCTTCAGTATTACTTGGATCCAAGATTTACAAACAAGCAGAAGTTCCAGGATGGAGTTCTGCCGACAACATTTAAACCACAGATGAAAGCTACTGCAAAGTAGATAGTCAAAGAGAGGTAGTCTGATTTCTCAGATCATCTCTGGCTCTGCTGAAGCCAGAACAAAAAACCCCCCCCCCCCCCAAAAAAAAAAAAAACCAAACAATTTAGGGAATGAACACCTTGGAAACTATTCACTTCTCTTGATTATTTTGGCACTGGAACCTGTCTCGGTCCTTCTGCCATGCCTCTCTATTCCTCAACACACAGTCCATGAATATGTGGGAGCTATTTGTGTACATGCTAGTTGTTAACGTACGCTTCCAAACTGCAGGACGGAGAGTTTAGTGATTTCTCTGTCTCCCAGAATGCTTACAGCAGAACCCCCACCCCATGAGAGACCTAGTAGTTAACCTATATAGGATGGCACCCTTTAGGAGGAAGATGCACCATCAGAGTGTATGCAGAATGAATATAGGGAGAAATATGAAAACAGAATAGGGACTGCAGGTCACACCGAGTTGTAGTGCTCATTAAGCAGGGTGAAAAATTTGCCATCTTATGGTCACAGTATGTCTCCCACTAGTACCCCAATGCCTATCTCTAGTGTACCATCAGTGGATCCACACTGCTAAAGGCATCTGTACCAGAGATTAACCCCTGGCCCGTGGGTCAAGGGGTACCAAGCAGCTTAGGCTTGCAGCGCTCAGGGTTACTAGCTTCCTTCGGAGCAGACACATCATATCCATACTGTGCAGCACTTGACCTGGGTCTTCCACAGTGCTGCTAGGAAAATCATCAGGGAGGTAGGGGTGGTGTCATTGAAAATCTTGAAATGAAAGTCAGGCCAGAAGAAGGGTATTTTTATAGCATGACGACATAACCATCTTTATATACCCTGTGTGCAGTGGCAAAAAGGAGCATGGAAAGATGTGAGGGTACAAAGTTTCCTGGGATAGTGGTGGAGTACTGTGTAGAGCATAGAGGTGTCAAGACTGAACTATTTCCAGTGTAGTTCCCAGGCTTCTTGTCAGTGAAAATAGTTCATTCACTTCAAATGAAAGCTCGTGAGTGAACTACCATACATGCACTGGGAATATTAAGAGACTGGGATCTGGAAGCACACCAGGAAACGCAGTTATCTGAAAGTACTGAAGTACCCAGTATGGTTTGTCTCTATGAATATTAAAGTACCTGACATTAAGCAAAGTTAAAAAAAATTCCAGGCAATATTATTTACAGAACAAGCGTATTATCTAAGATATTAGTGGCGGGCCAAGTCTAAAAGACACCAAACACCTGCAAGTCATTAACCTTAGTCCCCCACCCCAGGAACAGAACCTTTGCTTGCAGATAACAGAGTGCTATGAGAACCACGGTAAAGACACACAGGGGAAATCTGTGTGATCTGTTCTCACCAAAAACAATTTCTTGTTTATCTGAGGAAAAAACAACCACCCCATTAGATTTCACTAGATCTTTGACTCCAAGTCTTCAGTAAAAAGCAACAATGACATCATACACCCTTCATTACATTATGTTAAAATACTGACACAAGATATTCCCGCTACACAGATATTACTGTGCCTGCAGCAATGGCTCTTCGAGTCATATTTTTCTCTGTAAGACATAAATATACTGGATAAATCAAAGGGAATTGCCTCATTTTTAATAGCAGCTCCCCCTTAACTGGCTCAGCTTTCTGCAATCCTTCCTGCTTGCTTATCACTAAGCAGAGACCCACATCTCCTCCACAGACCAAAAGTCTTATAGCTCAGTGTTTTTATGTGGTTATATTTAGACACAGATGTGTGAACAGGAACCTCCTTTTCGTGAACCACACCTCCACAAATCTAACTCTGACCTTTCTAATATAAAATCTGATCAAGATACCAGTGAAAGGCAATTTCCAAAAGATTACCTGCACCCACCCATCTTTAACAATAGCTGCATGAAACTGAAAATCTAATTTGGATTTATTACACCCTAATTGGTTAGGGTGTAACAT